CTTCAAATTTTTGCTTACTCTGCAATTCGCATATAAAAAAAAACTTTGAAAAAATATAACTAACACAAATGGAAAAAACATCTTGAACACAAATGTAAATTTTAAACAAAAAAATTAATTGACCTACCGAAATTTGCAATCAAACCCCGATTCGCACACAAACACAACAAACTCAAAATTCAAAATTTTCAAAAATAAAAATAAAAACAATAAAAATAGGAGTTGGCCACAAAACTATCGAGAAGCTTCGATATGAAGGAAGAAGGAGGCTCACTGCTGGGCGACAAGGGTGTACGCAGGCATCAGGTGAGTGATGGCGGCATGCTAGAGGTGCGGTAAGAAAAAAGATGAAATAAATAAATGTTACGTAATATTTTTTAAGTTAGCTTTAAGCAGTTAAGAAAATACTCGCAAGCTTTTTGAGCAAAAGGCAAAATGGATTAAAAGGATTTATGCGTTTAAAAATTAACAAAGCCTTGGTTCCTTTAAAACGGCAATATCTATAAGAAAATTTAATTTTCACCTCTGAATTTCACTCATACGGCGCTCAACTTAAGCAACACTTCTTGAATACAACACCAAAGAACACATTGGAAATTTTTCATACAACTCCCAACTCGTTTTTACTCAGCCAGTCATCGCGACTCATTCCCAATCGACTCTCATTTGAAGACTTCATTCCACGCGCTCTCACGCTCACTTTCTCTCTTTCTCTCATCCTTCTATATCTTTTCTCAACAACTTTACGCGACACAATTCACGAATTTTGCATCGATATATTTTTGAAATAGTTTCTACTGGGATTTAGTTCAATGCATTCTTCAATTTGGTTTTTGTTTTACTTTTGTTTTTCTTGGCATTGAAATCGGCTACGCTTGCCTAAATATTTATGAATTTTTGTTGATGCTCAAAATGAATTCCCTGTTATTATGAATTATGCTATAAATATGCTCCTTAGTTACCGATTTTGCTGCCTGTTATTTAACTAAGTAGCGAACTCTCACCTTACTATATTAGTTACTAATAACTGAACCTCACTAACTAGTTCTATTAGTTTTTCTATCTATTAATTATACTTGTTTGAATTATTTTTTACACCTGAATAAATACTTACATACACCAAAACACATACAAATTTAAAATAATCTAGGATTTGAATGAAGCTAAAATAGTATTAAATTTTTTGAACTATTATATTACATATCGACGGCTGAGTTGAAGATCGATATACCACGGCTGTCGGTTGGAAACTGCCCTATCTCAGAAAACTTTTCAAGAACGCCCTTCTTTACAATTTTGTTGAAGAACGCCCTATCTCAACTGAAAATACATTGAAAATATATTGAGTTGGGGCGTTTTTGAATCGGCAGCTGTAGTAGGACGTTTTAGAACCGAATTGTGAGATTGAACGTTCTTGAAAAGTTTTCTGAAATATGGCGTTTTTCAACTAGCTGCTGAGAAAGGTCGATCTTCCACTCGACGGTCGATATACTTATTTATAAGTACCATTATGTTTCATTATCATTATCGTACCCCCAAAAAGAGGCTCACAAATGAGTTGAAACTGAATATCAATGAACCCTGTGAGCTTTAAAATTTGCCATGAGCATAGCTTTTCTTTTTTAGCGCGAGCTCATGCCCTATTCTTAACAATACAATCGCAGGCTACATCAACTCCATTAGCACAGCTTGTGTTGCCCATAATAAATATTAATATGAGCTTATGAAATTAATATATACACACGCCATTTGAGAAGTGTACATATGGCTTTAATTGTTAAATAGACCAATGAAGTAAAGCACAAATTGCTGAAGCTTTTGCTGGATACTTCTGCGCTCAAAACACATTCGTCTGCCAAATATAGAATACATGAACAAATCGTATTAAACAAAAACTATTATTTGAGCTCAATTGGTAATTTTCTTGAAACTAGACTTGACTGGATAAACTCAGACCGCATGAGGTATTAGTGCCGAGGTTGCCAAACTTTTTTTTTATCGTAGACCACTTTTAAAATTTTTCTGGTTTCGGTGGACCCCCTGCTGCCACACTTCTACCATACTCCCAAAACTCGCCAAAAAAAAAATTGAAGTTTAGATTTAACGATGGAAATTTGAGTCGCGGTCTGTTTCACATGCACTGCTTGTCTATGCCCTGCACTTGCAATGTAAGTATAACCAGCGCTTAACACTTGACTTGACTTGAAAATTTTATATCTGACAAATGAAAAAAAAAAAACAACTTCACTCAGAAACTTGGAGAATTATAGATTTTCGATTTCTTAGTTATGTTTCAAAGTGCGAAGAGAGCCGTGAGAGAAACATGCTGCCATATCATTTTTTTGCGAGCACAAAATGTGCACAGCAAAAAATTCCTTTATGAAATTCTTGCATATACACTTCTCAATTGTCATATACATAGCTGGACTTATTATCTAAGGTAATAAGCTGACGGCACTTCAAATCATGCTCAGCCTAGCTTCACTTATCATCCGGACAACTCGGCCGGAATAAATCAAGGATGCATTGTAACATAAATTTTAGCGTTTGCCAAAAAAAGCAATCGTTCCTGTTGAAACGATTCAGTTTTTTATCGTTTAGGTAATTATCAAAATAATACTATTTTCGCTTTTCACGAAAAGAAATTCAATCGTTAACGCTGAAGCTGTTGCTGTCAATGGCATACAACAACAACTTTTCGTTGATTTATTTCGTTTCAACGTTAACGATTGAGTTTTGTTTCGTTGATTCAGCTCTAAAACGAAGCGAAATTATTTTGATAAGTTATTTTTACGCATCAACAAAACGAAATTGATTCATATAGTTCGTTGAGCATCTCAGCTTTAAATTATTAACTTTTTACCCTATTGATACTTGTAAATAAATGTGTATGTTTTAAGAATAGGAATGAAATCCCACTGTCTTGATCGATGTGTAGCACAAAATATGTCAATAGCTCTAATCGAAAAACGCCTGATTGGCTGGAACCCAATCCCTAATTTTAGAGAGCCCACTTTACATCGCCTCTCGCTTAAGCCACAGAAAAATCATCCTAAATACATATATTCATGCAGCATACACAAGCCCACCACTAACCCATATTTTTTGTTGTTTTTCTTGCGACATTCCAGTCCATGCAACGCCTTTCCGCCGAGCAAAATGGTTCAACGACTGAACAAACACATGAACACAATCCAAACGTCGTACCTGATCATAAAGGCAACTTACACGTTACTGTTAAGAAAACTAAACCAATTTTAGGTATTGCTATCGAAGGTGGTGCTAACACAAAACACCCGCTTCCTAGGATAATCAATATCCATGTGAGTACCACATAAATGCACCTCAAAAACATATATTTGTGCTCAAGTGTAGTTATATAACTTTGGCCGCACATCTCCTTTCCGCAGGAAAATGGTGCCGCTTATGAAGCGGGCGGACTAGAAGTCGGGCAACTGATACTGGAAGTGGACGGCAATAAGGTTGAAGGTCTACAACATCAGGTATGTTTAGCCATTTTTAGATGCATTTTCAATATTTATGTAATGCGCTTTCTTGTCTCTTGTTTCACAGGAGGTTGCCCGCCTGATAGCCGAATGCTTTTCCAATCGTGAAAAGGCAGACATAACCTTCTTAGTTGTCGAAGCGAAGAAGTCAAATCTTGAACCAAAACCAACAGCGCTTATCTTTTTAGAAGCCTAACATTTGCTTGCCCTGCCGGCTAATGAGGATCCCTTGGAACGACAAAAGATCGAGTTCCTCTACGAATGGGGGATCGATTTAACGACAACGCCAAAACCAATGCCAACACCAATACCATTAACAAAAGCTAAAAATCCACCGCCACTGCCACTCAACATTAAATCCATCAACCATACATCGCAACACCATCAACATCAGCATCATCAGCAGCATCAATCACCAGCGTCGGCGATGACGGCGCCGACACAACGCACATCGGCGACGGCCCATCAGCAACACGTTGACGCGACAACAACACCAACAGCAACAGCAACAAGAACACACACACATGTGCCACAAATCACACAACAAGCGTCAATGGGAGCGACGACACAGGCGACGAGCGCCAAGCACACAAGGAGCCCAACGCAACAACAACAACAACAACAACAACAACACCAACCGCACCAATTACACCACCAACGTACAACGCCAACATCAGCCACAACAACACCAACAAAAAGCAGCACACAACACCAGCAACCGCAACCACAACATAAAAGACTGACACCAGCTGAATATGCGCGAGCGGGCGGCGCCATAACAACAACAACAACAACGCCAACAACATCGGCTCCGACATCGCGGGAACACACACCAACACGCAGCTCACAATCACAATCACAGTCGCAATCGCAACACCATCATCAACTACAGCGACAAGCATCAACCACACAACGCCATCAGCAACAGCATCAACAACAACAACAACAAAAATCACAACATTCACAACACGAACAGAGGCGCGAACTCGATCGCAAGGGCTCGCAACGTGAACGTGATCGCACGAAAGAGCGCGAACACGAACGTCAGCGGGGCGCTGTGCGCGAAGATGAACGCGAGCGTGAACGTGAGCGAGCACGCGCATTGGAACATGAGCGCGAGCGTGACTATGCTTATGAGCGTTCGCGAGATTATCAGCGCGAGCGCGAGCTAGAGTATGCACGTGAGCGAGAGTATGCAGCACGCGAACGCGAATATGAGCGTGAGCACTCACATGGCGCACGCCACAGCGATTATGCACGCGAGCGAGAGCGCGACTCCGAACTTCGTGAACACCCACCGCCGCCGCTACCATCAGCATCCGCATCATCAGCGCACTCACATCTAATACAACACCAACACCACCGCCAACAACACGAACACCACGAACAACCACATTACAATAAAACAAATTATAATTCCGTTTACCAGTAAAAAAATTTTACGAAATACGAATTTGAGAAATTTTTGCTAACGAAATTTACCACCAACTACATACAATGAAAACAACAACAAATGCTTGAAATAACGGGTGATTTTTTAAGAGCTTGATAACTTTTTTTTAAAAAAAAATGCATAAAATCTCATCGGTTCTTTATTTGAAACGTTAGATTGGTCCATGACATTTACTTTTTGAAGATAATTTCATTTAAATGTTGACCGCGGCTGCGTCTTAGGTGGTCCATTCGGAAAGTCCAATTTTGGGCAACTTTTTCGAGCATTTCGGCCGGAATAGCCCGAATTTCTTCGGAAATGTTGTCTTCCAAAGCTGGAATAGTTGCTGGCTTATTTCTGTAGACTTTAGACTTGACGTAGCCCCACAAAAAATAGTCTAAAGGCGTCAAATCGCATGATCTTGGTGGCCAACTTACCGGTCCATTTCTTGAGATGAATTGTTCTCCGAAGTTTTCCCTCAAAATGGCCATAGAATCGCGAGCTGTGTGGCATGTAGCGCCATCTTGTTGAAACCACATGTCAACCAAGTTCAGTTCTTCCATTTTTTGGCAACAAAAAGTTTGTTAGCATCGAACGATAGCGATCGCCATTCACCGTAACGTTGCGTCCAACAGCATCTTTGAAAAAATACGGTCCAATGATTCCACCAGCGTACAAACCACACCAAACAGTGCATTTTTCGGGATGCATGGGCAGTTCTTGAACGGCTTCTGGTTGCTCTTCACTCCAAATGCGGCAATTTTGCTTATTTACGAAGCCATTCAACCAGAAATGAGCCTCATCGCTGAACAAAATTTGTCGATAAACCGAACACTTCGACATTTCGAACCGAACACTGATTTTGGTAATAAAATTCAATGATTTGCAAGCGTTGCTCGTTAGTAAGTCTATTCATGATGAAATTTCAAAGCATACTGAGCATCTTTCTCTTTGACACCATGTCTGAAATCCCACGTGATCTGTCAAATACTAATGCATGAAAATCCTAACCTCAAAAAAATCACCCGTTATTAAATATCTGACGCTCAATAGCAACAACAACAATAGCAACATGGTACAAAACACACTCAGCATGAATAGAATTTTGCTCACATTTTGATAACGTGAAAACATAAGCAAAACAGATGGATAAAGAAAATGCATGAAATTCGAAGAAAAGAGCAAATTATATTTGAATTGTGCAATTGTGTAACTATCCCGCGTAAATAATAGAAAACACTTAGCAAACGCCCGACAGCAATAGCCCAAATAAGTAATCCCACTCTAGCAAGAACAACAATTCCCTGCATAGCGCCGCCGTTCGTTTCACTTCAATGCTCCACACATTCTATTGCCGCCGCTTTAAAGTTTTATGCCTTACGCTCTCATAGAATCGCTTAAAATTTCAATCCCTCATAGAAAAAAAAGAATAAAAAGCTAAAAAAAAAAAATATGTTTTGTGTGCTAAAACGGTTATAATTTTTAGCTTTTGTACACTGACACGCAAAATTGTATTGTTTTGCAAATTTCACCTCATTCACTCATACAAGCCACACACACACACACACAGAGGTACTCAAATACTTGAAAAATACATTGTAAGGCTCTTTCTGCTTCAGGCCTTGAGCTACATACATAGATGTTTGTTGTAGTGTTTTATTTCGTACTTTTGCTAAAACTGCTTCAAATGTTTCATAAATGCACACAGTCGCTGGGTATATTAAAAAAAAATATATATGTATATATATATTTTAGTTTTACCCCTTCTTAACCTCAAAGTATATTAAATGTCCCAATTGAATTGTAAACTCCAAAAAACTAACGTTTTGTATTCTAGTTTAAGTTTTGGATTTTTAGTCAAATTATTATTTTTTCTATCCTTTTTTATATATTCACGAATGAAATCTGTAAGTGAAGAAGAACAGCCAAGCGAAAACGAGGAGGATTTGAAAAATGTATGAAGGACAATTCAAAACATCTTCCGATTCCCTGGCTTGCAATTGCCACCGCTTCGCAAAAGATTAAAATAGTGAATTGTTTATGGTGATTAATATATGTTATTTGCTAGAAAAATAAGGATTTTATTATCATTTAGCGGCATTTGCATTGCTTGGTCATCCAAGAGATAATCCTTTTTTAATTTATTCTTATTTTTTCTCTCGAGTGTGAAAATGTTTAAAAGTTTTTCTGGCTGGTTATTTTCTGATGTAGCATTAGGACCTGCAGTGTTCTTTGGTTGTAAGTTGTTCAAAATTTTTTTAGAACATTTCCAGTCGTTCGAGAATTTTTAAACTTTTCTGGATTTTTATTTTTTATGAATTTATTTTTCCTAATTCATTAAGAGAAAAAGATCAACCCTTTGAGGCATCGCCATAAAGCCAATTCGTTGTTTTACTTTTCTGTGAAATTTGAGAAAACTTGCAAGAAAAACAGATAAACTAACCCTTTAACCCTCTTGTTAATTTCGGTCATCAAATGGTTAACTACTTTAAAGCGCTTTCTTAATTTTTTACCGAGTGAGAAAATATAAGAAATAGAAATTTAAAAAAATAGTTAATTAGTTTCTATAGAATCTTGAAATGGCACTTGGTCATTAAAGTGTTAATTTGTTTTCACTTCTTTATTGTTGTTTTTATTGTTACATATTATATTTTTAATTTTTACTTCTTTCCTTCATTTTTTTCTAGAACGAAAGAAACCTAAATATTTAAACTTTTGAATCAATAGTTTAGTTTGGCTTACCCCTGCACTGTGTACCGCTTTGCTTCATTAAATGCAAACATTTTTGAAAAGTATTCGTATCAATAAAACACTGCCACAAAATAAACAAGAAGCAAACAATTTACACTTTTGGACGTATGAGTATCTCAAATATACTAAAAACTGATAAAAACCAAACCAAACAAGACACACAGCAATGCTATACGAAAAAATTAAAAAAAAAAGATTAAAATATTAAAAATATAAAAAAAAACTCTCTCCCCAAAGCAACAACACAGATGGAGCCGCGCAACCCCACAAAACTTCTATACTTAGCCCCTATCCAAATCCACACGCTCTTCTATTTAGCTACCCAAAATCTTATCTCAAGCGAAAATTAAATTTATTTACCATAGCTTGGGTGCTCTTAGGTACAAATGTGTGCCACGAGTCACACATACACACCTGTATCTTTGTATATGCTAGTCTCGATTACCCATCGAACTCTGAAGGACGTCTTAATCTTAACAACGATATGTATTATCGTCGTTTAAAGTACAAAACCGCGTATCAAGGTAATGCAAAAACGCGTATGCGAGGTTGCATTAATTATTTTCTAGAGAGTGAAAGCAATCGCATTTCTGCCTAGTATATTTCTGGACGAATGTATAAGAATTGAGCCAAGAGCTTGTGTGAGCAAATCTAATTTTTGGCAGCAAATGCCAAATACGCGGTTTTGTACTTTAAACGACGATATGTATCTATTAATTATGTACGTATGTATTCGTAATTATGTAAACTTAAGTTGTATTATTATTATTAATTATATTTATATACATACATATGTATGTATGTATACCATTTAACTGTAGTTTGTATTTTAAATTGTAAATTTATGTGGCGTATACACTTTACACCCGAAATCCGCATACACTGCGCTTCGTATTCAATGTACGAGTATGTACGTGTGTATGTAATTCTCAGTGCGGGAAAACAAAAGCAACAGGGTTGCTGCATAGTAATTGCCTTGCGCCAGCGTTGAAAGAGATTTTCCAGCGGACGTGAAATTCGTATTAGTCCATAAACGGCTGAGCGCTCAAAATTTTTTGTTTTCTGTACTTAGCTTGCAATATTGGAATTATTTTCCCATAAGTAAAAAACTTATCTTGACATATGTATGTATTCTATATACGTCACGCGGACCTTGAATATGTTAATGTATGTTCTATACCAGTGGTTCCCAACCTTTCCCAGCTGGTGACCCATCTTTCCTTATCGCAATACCTCCACGATCCATCGGTTCATGGTGGAGTAAAAAAACAAAATTTGTATCGCATCCCTTCCTTATGTATATATAATTTACAAGAAAATATTAAATATATATAAATTAGGTGGCGATCAGATAAGATTTAATGGCCCCTGACAGCCGCGAAAGTATGAAAGTATGTGAAATATAGGGGGAACTAGGTTGTCTGATTCCCATTAAAATTTCCTATATAGAAAGCTATCAACGTCCATTATCAGTTAAAAATTAGCAAATTCATATAGTTTGCCATGTTTACAGTTGAAAAAATTTGTATCACAATAGGGGTATTCTCGAAGATTTGCACAATCCACGGATCGTACGAAATTCAAAAATACTATTCCAAATTTCGAAGAGTACGAGAGCACCCCCTTGTAAAGTGGTAGCAAGCAGCGAAATTATGTATCAAATACAATAACAAGAGACAGCAAAAAAAAAATGAACTGAGCGTGATGAGAGGAATGAGAGAAATATGTAGCAATTCCAACAACAAAAGACTAGCACAGGGTCGCATTTATCTTGCTATGCATTTTGCAAAATATATACATGGATTTCGACGTTGCATATTTTGCAGCGATAGGAAACGTTGTTTCCCATGTATTTTGTTGTTGTGTGTTTGCAAGTTATGCAATCCATGTGATCCATGCTACGTGCAATGGCTTTACAAGATTTGGAGAATACCCCTAATGTATCAATGTATAAAATTGCTGTTTTTAACTAAAGCAAATTGCATTTAAAATTTTTTTCTGTGAAATAAGTGTGAAATTCCACACACTGTTTCACGCTGTTGTCAATATGAACGTAGCAACAAATTTTTCATGACAATTTAAAATATACACGTACACTTTAAATTGCGTGAAAACTGACGGTTTATAGAATTCAGTAGCTGAGAACACAAAGAGGAATTAAGGGGCTCAACCTTACCTTAAGTGATCGTAAAACTTTATTTCACTGGCAAGAAAATTGCAAATGAGTATTTATTACACCGTGCGACAAA